ATATATATATATATATATATATGTATATATATATATATATGTATACATATATATATATGTACATATATATATATACATATATACATACATATATATATATATATACATATATATATATATTTATACATATATATATATATATATTATAATAATTAACTATATATAAGATGATTCTTTTCTGGGATTATTCGCTATCATGATGATTAGATGATTTATCTATTTATTATTAGGAAAAATGTGTCGGATGGGTGAGGGCTACCACTCTATTTGTTGTTGCTAGGAATTAATCCAGTATATCTTTTTATTTGCTGTTGGGAGAATATACCATCGAGTGTGACATATATTTTTATTATATATTATGTTTATCATCGAGATATATTGTATGTGATTGATATATAATTTTATTTACTGCATAAGAATTATAATACGTTTATATATATGTTTCATAAAGATTATTTTATAATTTGAGTTTATATATTAGTTGACATTGCTATATGTTTCATAAAGATTATTTTATTATTTTTAAGACTCCTATCAACATGCATGATTGTTGTTTTTTTATCTTAATGTATTTTCAAAGTAATATATTATTTTATAATAAATCTTAGGTATTTTATAATAATCTTAGGCTTGATTAGAGAAGACTTTTTCATTGCTTAGGTCCTACTAAGAACATACAATTTTTTTAGTAAAAATAAATCTAAAGATAAAAATTTGAATTCAAAGATAATTTTTTTTATAAATTATAAATAATGAAATGACAATTTATTTATTTTTATAAATCTGAAATGATTCGGTACACCTTTGAAGCCGCTCAATTTCTTAGTATCCTTCTGTGCTGGAAAACAACTAAAAAAGACGTATAACAACTCCCGAAGTGGACCAAGAAGCTACTTACCTCAGTTGTTGACCCAGGCACGCTTCAGTTTCCTCCATATGAATCTTTACTGCTCTCTACTAAATGATTAGCATGAGAAAAATGTGTTGAGATTACACCCAAAGTTACATCTAAATATGGTGGTTGTTCCTCACTTCTTGTCACAGTTCTCTTTCCATGGACGATGATCAGTCAAACCAAATAAACATCCAGTCTTTTCAGATCTCTAAACTAATATAGCAAAATACTGAATCATTGTTGCAGCTGTATCCCGAAAGGCTTTATGCCTCAGCAGTAATAGTTTAAGTAGGTTCGCTTCTAATCACTCGACAACAAACACAAACAACGAGCTCTTAGGCTTTAAACTTTCAACCACTGAAAGCAAAGTGCAAGAGAAAGAAAACATTCAATTGCCTCAGCAGCTTTAGGAACAAAACTTCAGATCAGTTCCCATATCATAATGTAAACTTTTGCCATTCAGTTGAGCTGCAACAGCTGCAAATAACCTGATTCAGATCAGTTCCCATATCATATTGTAAACTTCTGCCATTCAGTTGAGCTGCAACAGCTGCAAATAACCTCCATGGCCAACCGGATTCGTGGCCTTATTCTGCTACTGTATTAACGCAGCCATGGCTTTTATATGTCTACCATCCACAACTTGAGATTAAACTGCTATGCTGTCTCCAATGGACCCTCCCACTTCTCTACCAGCTCTTGCAATTTATCAAAACCCTGCAAAATAGTAAAGAAAATATATTTACAAATTTTACATATAATATCTGGTAATTGGTAGTATCAGGCAAATGAAATCTGATACTCACTATCCGAGTCGTGAAGCTGCCAAATGATTCACCCTGCAGGCGCTTGCTCTTCCAGCCGTAAAACAATGGCTCCAAAACCTTCTCTAGGTTTTGGACCTTCACCTTGTTCGTAAAGCATTTTGCTAATGAAGTCTGATTAGGTGTCCCACCAAGCCAGACCTGAATTGCATTTTAAACAGAACAATATAAGAATTTATGTTACCAAGGAAAGCTTGATGACTTGCATTGGCTAGTTGCAGAATCTGTATATTCTACAATTAGTAATAACTCAGGTTTTCAGCAAACAACACCACTTTTGGATGACTATTAAATGGAGATTTCACGTCCATTATGCTTGAGAGCAAAATGACACAAAGTTTTAGTTAAAACATATAAATTACACAAAATTGTTAAACCTGACTTTGATTGGTACAACTGGATAAACAACTAATGCTGTCAACATAGCAGTGGAGTATGAACATCCTATGAAGAAATGGGACATACAATTCTCCCGGCTGATTTATCATTCAGATATTTCCAGTCTATATAATTCCACATATCTAACCATGCAACATTAGCACAAATCATAAGTGCATTTGAGTACCTGGTAGCTGTTGGGACCATCACCAACCAGTCCTAGCTCGGCCATGTAGGGTCTTGCACACCCATTGGGACAGCCTGTTACCCTTATCACAACTGACTCATTGTTCTCTATGCCTACCTGTGAAAAGAATAAGAACCCATTGTCACTTCTCAAAAAAATAAATCTTACCATTATGGAACCAAAAGTTGCATTTTCCTAGGAACCCGTTGTCACTTCTCAAAAAAATAAATATTACCATTATGGAACCAAAAGTTGCATTTTCATAATTATGTATAAATACATTAAGATGGATCATTTAAGGTACTAACCTTATTGAATACAGCTCGAATCCTTTTAAGAATTTGTGGTATCCCCCTCTCAGCTTCTGTTATTGCTAGTGGACAAAGTGGCAGTGCAGGACATGCCATTGCAGTTAAATTAAGAGGATCAATTTCCGTAGGTTGCTGCAAGACAAAACATAAATGCTGAATAATAAAAATACGAAACCATCCATATTTTCTTTTTGGCTATAAATACATTTACTTTCTTAGTTGTACTAAAAAGTACCTAGCCCAGTATACGTTATGAACCTACTACTAAATCAACTTGTTGGCTCTAATATCTCTAGTCCATTAGTAAACCAGACTTTCCTTTTAAAGACAGTCAACTAGGAAAATTTCTTACATAGAGCAGAAATAATTTTCTTAAAGTGAAGAGCAAAATATGACAAGCTTTACCAGTAGACCAGCTTGGGCAAGTGCTGCGGTGATAGGTTCTTCCCATGAGTGATGAATGTCGCACAAGATCAAGTTCTGGTTAGGTGTAATCCGCACATTCAAGTTATACTTCTCAATTATTTCTCTTAGTGTTTTCTTCATATTCCCACCTATACGCCCGCTATCAATGTGTACTCCACAGAACAATGCACCATTACCCTGCATTAGCAGAGTAGCAATGAAAACATATTACGAAGATATAAACAGATATGGTCTGAAATGACAGAAAATTTTATAGTAGCCATCAAAATGTGAAGTTAAAAAGCAAAACCGCACATGAAATTGTACCTGTTCATGCCATCCAAGGTAACTCTTGAATTCCCACTCTGGTAATTCTCTGAATGGCTCGAACTTCTTTCCATAATACTGCTCGACGACTGTGCGGAATTTGTCAATCCCCCATTCACCAATCAAATACTTCATTCTACTATACCTGCGGTCATCTCTCCTCCCATTTTCTCTTTGTGTAACAACAATAGCTTTTATAGCATACAAGATGTCTTCTTTTGGTACATAACCTAAAGGCTCTCCCAGACGAGGGAATGTGGTCTCCACCCTGTGTGTTCTTCCCATGCCTCCTCCTACCTACAAAAGCAAGTTGCAATGGTAAAATTGAGTAGATCACATAATAAAACATAACATAACCTGAAGTAAAATCTATTACATAAATATTGAAGCCTTGAGGTTCTCCATCAATATCAGAAACTACGACGACACCAATATCATTTGTCAGGATATCCACAGAGTTGTCAATAGGCACAGTCACTGCAATCTTGAACTTTCTAGGCAAGAATTGAGTGCCATAGATGGGCTCTGGAGAATCAGGGAAATTAGTCCCATGTGAGTTGTCATTACGAGCTTCGACTACTTCAGGGGGCTCTGCTGACATGATCTTTTCCCCATCTATCCATAGATCATAATATGCGCCAGCCTGTGGTGTCAAGAGTGCAGCAATATTCTCTGCAGTTTCCTGAGCAAAGACATATTCTTTTTTGGTATACGGTGCTGCAGGAGCTAATACATTTCTGTTCAGATCACCACATGCACCAAGAGTTGAGCCCATGTTTTTAATAATAGTGCTCATTACAGTTTTGAGGTTCTTCTTCAGGATACCGTGCAGTTGAAATGTTTGTCTAGTGGTCAAGCGGAGAGTGCCTGTGCCAAAATCATCTGCAAGATCATCCATAACCAAGTAGAGCCTGTTCGGTACTTTCCCACACGGATTCTTTGTACGAAGCATAAACTGGTAAGACTTGACACCACGTTCATCTCTGTTAGTTTGTTGATAACTTCCATGAAATTTGATCAGTTGGGTGGCAGCCTCATTTATGTTTGGAGCTTCTGAAGTTAACTCCTCATTTAGAGGATATCTAAGGAAATTGCTTTTCTCCTTGAACAATTCAACCTTGCTTCGCTTTACCTCAGAAGTATCTGGCCTTATAGGCTGCAAAAAGAAAGAAGGCTAGGCTGTCAAATGACATGACTTAAAGTAGCATTTAAATATAACATAATGAGGTACCTCTCAAGCTCACTGTTTAGTGAAAAAAAAAGGGTCCTTGTGATGACACAAAAGTGAAATGATTTATCTAATACATATTAAGTCGAAGAATTGATGAAAGTTCTTTCTTTAGGCTGAATTGGGCTCCAACGTTTAGCAATTATAATATAAGCAGGATTATGTGGAGATCAGCAAAGGGAATAATTAAGAAGCTTTGCACAGACACCAGGGAATAGAAGAAGAAAGATAGGAAGAGAGATAAGAAGAGCAGTTTCACAAATCCACTAAATAGAATAATATTTTACTAAAAATCAATCATTTTTCATGACTCAATGATTATGCTCTCAAAAATTAAAATTTTTTTCATAGAATTTATAGCGCTCCATGTAATGCTATTTATAGTTCATTAAACAATTATAGAACAACGGACTATGATATAAGATATTCTAGTTGATCTGTAGTGTTACCAAAATTTCCTGTGACAGTATGATCCACTCTTTGATCCATACAATTATTCACTATCGTGCCCTCATTGATACTAAATTATAAAGTAAAATTTCCACTGTTTACAATCCTTTATTTAATGTCAATCGAGAAGGATTCTATGTGAACTATAACTTGTCAGAGCAAGGTTGAATTTACTATAATTTTTTCTTATTATCTTCTTATTTTTTGCTCTTCTGCATCTAAAATTTTCTTGCCTCTGACCATTAAGTAAACAAATTTATTTGAAAAATAAAATAATTTTATTGATCCTTTGCTGAGTGTTCGACGGCACTGGCATCATCCAAGCAATCATCTTTGCTCATTCCAATCCATGTGAAAATATGGTCGAAATTTTCTAATCCTCTTTCAAGAGGTGCGGAGAGGTATTTTATTTGCAAATTACAATTATTTCAAAAGATGCATGCTGGTAGATTCTAACCACATGGTTCAAGATAAAAGCTTATAACCAAGAGGAGCTAATCTAAACATTATTACTCATGTGACCTTAAACATCAGACTTAAAACTGTATGAAAATATACAAGAATGCCTCTTTCTTAAAACTGCTCATGCACATATAGGTTTCGCTTGAATTTACGGTCAGAAGATAACTTGTAGCAAGGTCTGACAAAAAATAATATATTTCCTGGGAGTATCATTCAGCATGTCATAAGTGGTTTATGACCAGTTTCTAATGATGTTAACGTATTGGTTGTTCCACAGTGTTCAATTATTGACCATAGTTGTTTAAGAGTACTTTCGATATTGCTTCTGACATACCTTGGATGTACAAAAAAATGTTCTGCATCATATGCTGATGCATTGGAGAACATCTAGACAAATGTTGCCAGACTGATGAAATTGTGGACAGAAGTATGGTACTTACATATATTATAGTACCAATATAAAAGAAGATCTTTCCTTCTTCAGAAAGGCTGACACTCCGGCATCCGCATTCCTAATTAGGGCATCAATTTCTTCTGACGCCTCTGGCAGATGGAACCGGTGTTCAGCCCATTTGAAAATTTTAGGGGTATCTAGTCCGAAGAAAAATTGATCAGCAAAAAAGCGTAGGATTTTACGTTACATAAATATGAGTTATGCTTAGGAATGACCTACAATGTTACCAAGGATTCTAGCCATCTTTAGTAGCTATTCAGTGAATATAGTGGGACTCCAATCGACTTAGAATTTATAATCCTATTAAGCGAATAAGGTTCCCGACGTAGACCGGAGCTACAACTCCTAACACCGCTCGAAGAACGACAAAGAGAGACTAAACCAACATTTCCTTTTACAATACCATCCACACGATCAATTTTCACCATCATCTGAACCAGAAAGAGAGAGAAAAACAAAGCAAATTCACAAATCTTACGGTGGAAACAGCCGTGACAACCGAGGAAGAGCTCGATGAGGACGCCACCGCTAAGCTCCGGGAAGATCGCCCAAATGGAATCAACCCCGACGACCTCAGCCCGCGAAACCTGTGGATCTGCACCCCCTGATCCGCCCCAACTCCAACCCCGCCCGCCGCTGCAGCCGCCATGAGAGATAGGCGAGAAGGCAGAAACCCTAGAGGAAATCTGGTCTTGAGTTGTTCGAGCAGGGCAGATCAAAGAGAGTGACAGGAGCTAAAATCAGAGGACTGAAACAAAGCATAGATTTCCTTTTTGGAGGCCAAAAAGGTGATGGACGCGCGATATATCCACCCAATGTTTCTATATCCGATCTGTTATGTATGGATTTATTGCAGCGAGAATTCTGCGTTGGAATAGGTAATGGTGGGTGACAATAGCATGTGGGCTCCGGAGCCCAAGTTCGTCGAACCTGGATGGATTTGTTGATGGTACGCGTATATATTTAAAGTCGGCAAGCAGAGTCGTGCACGTGTGTCCCGGTAGACTAACAAGCGGCCCATTCTGACTTCCATTGTATGGGTCGTAAAAAGCCCACTTAAAGACGAGAAGGACAATTACCTCACCACGAGCAACATTTTTTCTACCCATTGATGAACCACGAAGGCGGCAGTAGATATCAGTGGAGCCCGGTGGGTGCCGCTGGTTGCTCCTACGGCGATGTAGATGGGGCAGAGGGTAAGGTTCGAAAAATGGAATAATCATAAAGACTTGGATAATCATTTCATTGCCAAGAGATTTGACTTCTTTATTGACTTTTGTGGTGCATTTGTTCATGGGATTAGAACTATAAGAGGAATGTTAAAACTTGTTTTCCAATTACGAAATCTAGATTCTCCATCAACGAATCATCGTGGGAAAAAGTTATGTGCGAGGGAAAGAGAGAGATGTATATTAACTTGATTTGCAAAAATATTTATCCTCTGAACATAGAGCTTGATCTGCTGACGATAAATTCTCTTTATGGGAGAGGCGTCATCATAGACTAATTGGAATCACTTGAGAATAATAGTCTCGCATGGGAACTAAATATATCATGTCTTGTACCATAATTTACTAGCTTAATCTTATGGGTTACAGTCATATTCAATTACCATGTTGATTCAGTTGATGGTTTGTCACTTCAGCATGGTTTATGATCTAAGAGGGCATGTAGAGATAGAGTTCTTCCAAACGCTGACGTCACATGAAAACCCAGCCCTAATTTCATCAGTGGATGCATGACAACTAGATTCTCTATTGCAGTCATAATAATCTGCAACTTGAATTGCTGTAGCTCCGAAATATCTTTTATGGTTGAACCTATATATATATATATATATATATATATATATAGAGAGAGAGAGAGAGAGAGAGAGAGAGAGGTAAATTGTGAGTCAAAATTTAATACAATCCATATTTTATGTAGAGGGATAAACCACATTCTGTTTAACAAATCAAAATTTAATAGATAGAATTGCAATTATGATAAGTAATAATCTCCAAGCTTGATGTTTGTTTTTTTCTTTGTCATCATTGATTATTACTTGTGCATGATCTTATCAAAGTGCCCCACAAGCAACGCAAGATGCCCAAGAGATATTGTTTTGTTCTAAGTCTAAAATATAAGCTAAACATGCACTACTCTGGTTTATTCATTTACTTGTGTGACAAAATTCAAGGTTTGTTCAGCACAGCCAAGAGTAGTACAACAATGATTCACTCAAAGGTCTTCACAGTTGCAGCTGTTGGATATTTTTTTATGTGGCCAAAAACTCAAAGAGAGCAAATTATAGCAGTATCTGCCCCATCTATTTGTGATGTCATGATCAAATATTTTTTAGTTTCCATGAGGAACTGAATGGAGGAGCATTGCAAGCAGTCAAAATCAACTCTGAATCAGTCTTAAGACATGATCTGGCACATGGTCAACCAGGTGGAGGTAACCTCAGCTAGAAATATTCTGTTCCTCAGATCAATGATTCAGGCCATACTTTTCCAAGCTTCAGTGGAAATGGTGTACTGAATAGACTGGAAGCATTGCAAATAATACTGAATCAAAGATTCTCCCATTTTACATGAGAATTAACATATAAGCGTGGCACCAATCAAACCCGCGCAGGTTTTCTATTTTCAAGAAAATGTGGGAAAGAGTGTAAGTATTAAAATCGTAATATACTATTATTATATAAAAAATTTTAATAATAAAAATTAAAATTCAATAATAATATTTCAAATATATGATACATGATATTTGATGTTATTCAAAAAAATTTTATTTGATCCATGGATATATCGTAGATCCAAAAATTATAATGATACTAATAAAAACTAAATTTGTATTTTTTTTTCTTTCTATCCTTCATAGAATTAGGAATAAAAATAAGATGAGAAAAGATATACAATCTTCTAATTATTAATTGAGTTATATGATCCATAAGAGATCTGATTCTTTTATAAACAAGAGTAAAGTGACTAGGATAAATAATTAGTAGAGTCTCTCCCATGGAGATCATCTCTTAAGGAATCATATTATAATTAAACTTTCCTTTTATTAGTTAATAACTATAATCAAAATTCAATCATATCTCTCGTATACCTTAACTAATTAGATACAACCATATAATCTAGCATTCTACTACTTAATCTATTAATTGATAAGATATAAAATTTTAAAAAAAATAAAATAAAATTTTATTTTAAAATAATATTATTTAATTAGATTCAAAAACTTTAAAAAATACATTTTACATGTGTGCATAAATCTTATAAAACAAGCCAATAAGTATTAATAAATATAATAGTACATTAAGTTTAACTACTAATACGAGTCATAGCGGTTGTATATTATTAATGTCATACTTCTTTCTATGTATCATAATACTGTTAGCCCTTCCTAATATAATTCAAAATAATCTATATAATTTATTTTTTTAAGACAATCATATTATCATATTCAATCATAATATGAAAAATAAATAACTTTAATTATATAAATAAAAATATCAATTATAATGTCCACTCAAACATGTACTACCATATCTTTTATGGGTTGTTCACAAACCCATTTATAATAATATGCTCTTTCAAATACTTTTCACTATAAGGTCTTAGTGAATAAATCAGCAATCAATATAGTAGAACTCAATTTCTTCATTGATATTAATTATTTTTAAACTTTTTTTTCTTTGACCACTAAGTACTTTATACTATAATGCATAGAATTAATAGAGTACTTGCTATTCTTACAAAAAAATTGTTAAAATATGTCATATTGAGTCTAATCATATAAATCTTGAGATAAAATTTTATAATCATAAGGCATGATTAGTGGTCTTAAAGCATATTACAAAATCAACTTTTGTTGTCGATGATATAATAATGTATTACATTATATTTTTCTATATAAATTATTTCTCTAACTAGTATAAATATAAAATGTAAAGTGGATTTCCTACTTATTGAGATAATTTACAAAATCAGTATGAGAATACTATTATGTAGTATTCCAACTATAAAACTGATATTTGGTCTAATATAAGTTTAAACATATAATAATATATTTTCAACTATGACATACATAATAAATATTTTTCTTTTCTGATTCTTTTCTAAGTTATTTTAAAAATACTTATTTTAATTAAATTTTTTTATCATTTACTGAATAAAGTTGTATACTAAATTTATCTAAGACTTGATCAATATATCCTTTTAAGATAGTCTTAATAACCTTTGAGATATATTTCTGAATACCTCAATACCAATAATATAAGATGTCTCATTTATATCAATCATCTTAAAATTCTTGATGATAAATTTTTTTATTTCATACAATAAACCAAGATCACTATTGATAAATAAAATATCATCCGCATACAAGATCAATATAACAAACTTACTCCCACTAATCTTCAGATATTAATACTGATCTATAATTTTTTTAAAAAAATTAAAGAAACTAATGATATAAAAAAAACTCAATAAACGATTATTTGGAGGGTTGTTTAAGGTTATAATAGATTTTGTAATTGTGCATACTAAAATTTATATTTATTTTATTTCTATACGAATCGTTTAGAGTAACCCATATAAATCTATATATTCATTTAGAAATTTTATTTTCATATTCATTTGATATAACTCAAAATCATAATGTCACTAATGTCATGATGATTTTAATGGGTTCATTTAAAAAACTAAATAAAATATCTTATTATAATCGATGTATTTTTTATGAGTAAAATCTTTGACTATAAATTTATCCATTATATCATTTGATATTATCCTTTGAGTCATATTTATATAATAAACTTATTTATAGTTATTGGGTAATTCGACAAGTTCTTAAATAATATTCTGGTTCATTGATTTTAATTATCGATGTATTTTTTATGAATAAAACCCTTGACTATAAGTTTAGCTATTATTGTTGGGAAATCTTGGAGTGATATTACATGCATAACAAAGAATAGAAAAATAAAATCCTTAATTCTTAAAGATATGTTCGTCGTCATGCGAAGATTGGTGCATAAAAATCCGCGAAATAGAAAACCACGTGTGAGATATATTATATTACATAGGGAGATCATATATCCTTGAATCCCTGCAGATTTCTAGGAGAGGGTGAAGGAGGTTAAGCACTCTCCTCTCTAACGGTGATCCACACAATAGGGCTACGACGATGCTCCTCAAAACTTCAGGCCTGCTCTGAGGTGGAGAGGGGGAGGAGAATAGGAGAGGTAAGCAAAAGGCTCTAGCCTATAAACCACTGATTCCTTTATATTTATAGAGGTCCTTTGTCAACTTAATCATAATGGATCATCCCATATTGGACATTAGATCTCCATCCAACTACCTAAGCCTCTTAGATTAGTGGATCTCTATTCAATAATCTCTTATGTGTGCTTATTGGATCTCATCTATAAGATCCAATAATTCAGGGGCTTATTGGATATCCAATAAGCTAAGGGCTTTAGAAGATATCTTATATCTGAACCTTTACTCATTGCAATGCTTATCATATGTGTGTGACCCTCTAGGCCTATTATCGAGTTGGCCGTGAGTCATACCTTTCAGAACTCCTTTTGATTCAATGAATTATTATCTCCATAATAATTCACTTGGCTCATCGATTGCAGATGTACTAGGCCACTACGTCATAGTCTCCAGACGATACAGGGGAATCCAATCCGTTAGACCTTTTTGTCATTAGTTACCATGTAACTATAATCCTTTATTCATCTAATATCCCAAAGACTGTATACCGGGCATGGTGCTGTCAAACCTATACGATTTCTGCTCGAGTC